CACATACTCATCATATGCACATTCACACGCAACTGCTTGAGTCTGTGAGCACGCATGTAAGTACTGACATAAGAAATACCGGGGACGCACTGATAGCGGTAAGAATAAAGACCAAGTACGTGCAACAACTAAATATTAACGGAAGGACAAGGAGACAATGCAATCGCGGACAAAGCAAATCAATCATTATTGGAAACAAATCAAAAAGTCAACCTTATCATTGGCCTTTTCTCTCCGTAAAGAAGACCGGCCCTAATATGCGACCCTGAGATCTTTGCGATGCAGCGCTAACGGAACTGAAAAACATTTTCTATGGGATAATAGTACTGAGCATTCGTTCGTAATCACATGCTGCCTTATGATAGTTTGCGGTATTGAAGAAGGTTTCTCTTCGTTATTAAAACAACCCCCCCGTTCAAAATGATCGTCCTTCGAATTTTCATAAAATTCACTTATTGTCACAAGAATCGATTTCGTGTCGGTTGTACAGTATGTCGCAAAGGTAAAGAATCCCCTGTATTGTTCTTTATACGTTATATATATATAAAGCTCTACCATTTTATAATGTAAATGTTTGATCCGTATCATTCTTAAGCTAATCGTAAAGCCTACATCGGCTAATTATAGGAGCATATCATACAGTTGTAGAGATTTTCGGCCATATTTTATTTAATAAATACAAAAACTACTCGAGATCCAAAAAAGTTCGAGATTATACTTATAGACTTTTGCATATGCTAATCGTTGCTAAGAGCATCTAGCTCGTCAAAGAGCGATATATGCATTATTATCAAAAAAATCTATACGACGCCCCAAGGAATTCCCATTTTCTCAAAATAACCTTAACTAAGCCTGACGTTTTTACAGAATCAGGGTAAATTTTAGCATGGAACTTCTCGCGCAGGGCAGTTTTATCTACTTCAAAGAAAAGATCACTAGTTTTTCCTTATATAGTATTGTCGAAAGATATTCATCCATTCTCTAGCTAAATGACTTCAAAGTTACCTATCTCAAGCGATATAATTCGGGTCGATTTCGGTATCCTGTAGAATTTTTGCAATGCCTTTATTATTCAGACTTCAAATAGAGCTCCTTCAAATCAGAATAAAACTTCGTGATAATCGTTTGAATGTTATCACGACAAGGAGCACAAATGCGGACGAGATTTATAAGACAAAGTTATATGAATGACGCAGTGTTCCTCGCGGTGGTCCATCAATGATAATCGAAAAAGTTGATACAAAGTTGAGCAAGAACGGTACATGAGTAGCCATGTTGTGGTCGAGGGACTAGACATGTGCTATACAAAAAGCTTTTAAAGCATTTGATGAAAGCTAGCTACAGAAAAAGCTTGATATCCCGGCACTACACGAATTAACTCAATCGTATTTTAGTCTACGATACTTGACAAAAACAAAATAAAAATGAGCTGCTACATAAATAACTAATCACAAATCATAAAAAAGGTCAACGTACAATGTGGAAATAAGAAAACGTTCGGTGACAAAGTTCGGGCAACGAAATTGACGCCATGCGTATGGTAGGATCCGAAAGGTATCGTCGGGTTGCAACTAGCCATTGAAAAAAAACCGATCGGAAATAGGGAGCAGAAGAGGCGCTGTCTTCCATCATGACAATGTCAGACGATATGCATCTTTAGCTACTCGGCAAAAATCGAGAGAACTTGGGTAGCAAATTTTAATGCAGCCGTCGTATAATTTAGTTTTCGCATCATCGGATTACCATTTGCCCCGGGGGTCTGCAGAGCTCCCTTAATAGTGTTCATCTCATTTAATCGAAGGAAGCAGAAATCGCTTATTAAATTTTTTGCTCAGAAAACACAGAAGTTTGGCAGTGATGGAATAGTTATCAGAGAAATGGTAGAACGTCATCGATCAACATGGCGCACACTTGCTTTAATAGTATTATTTTTAACAACAATAAAATGTTTGTTTCATTGTTGGCTTAAAATTTATCAAAATTTCGATAATCCGATAGTTTTATAACTTTTTGCAATTATTCTCTTTCTGCATTTATTCTCTGCATTTAACGGGGGTATCATCAAGTACTGATTTGTTAGCCAAGGGTTAGTTATTAAGCACAACACATAACGGCCATTCGACGCAAGTATATGTTTAATATACTATCAAATTGCGTTCCTTACATTGAAAGGGCCCAGGACCTGTTAAGAGTGTATCGGGATGTTTCACCTTGAGCGGATACCGTTGACCTTGTATAGGCCTTTTGTTAGTTGCATACTTCCTCCACAGGGCGGAAATTTACTTGAAAATAGTAGCGTTTTTTATTGTAACCCCACTGGTTCCTGAGTCGCTCTTGTCCTTTAACAGGCGGGGAGCCGAGTGCGTACGGCAGGATGCGCTAACTCCCCCCGTAGCCCATTTACTGACGCTCGCTTTCTGCAGAGTCTGGAAAAGCACCAAATACAAAAATGAAAGGACGAACAAACTGACGCCCCTTCCTGCTCCCGACCCGCTCATGTACGCCATCCGTCGTAAAGCAGAACATAATATACAGTTGCCGACAGACTCATAAGACATACGTAGGTACACGCAGTATGCTAAACCTCCCGCCTCGTTCAGTCCAGAGTCATAAGCAGAAGGGAAAGCAGTTATAGATGACGAATAGGTCTTTCTGCGCGACGGTTGCTGCTGCTGCTGCTGCTGCTACTACTGCCGTTTCTGACAGAGTTACCCTTGGTTGATTCCACGAGCCCTGCGCTCCCTCTCGCTCCTTATTGCTATTATTTCTGCCGCCTGTTTGAAAGCAATCTAGCGTCGTGTGGTACAGGGCCATCGACTGGAGCAAGAGGAACTGTTCTGCGCGGTGGCACGATCCTTGCATTTACGTACACCGCAAAAACACACAATAGTATCCTCCAACGAGAACAAGCATCATATCATGAGTTGCTACCTATTCCTCTTCGTTCATCTCGATATTTCAAAATACATCGTTTCAGTCACCCCCAACCCCTTAAGAAGTTGGCGACCGAGTAGATGTTCCAAGCAAAACAAGCGTCATTAGCAAGAAAATTGCTCACATTGGCCATATTTTTTTCCCGCTTGAACCGGATGTATAGGTATTGCGAAACAAAACCAACGATGATGCCGTATAAGGGCAACAAGTGTATACAGGGCATAAGGTCAGGACATGAAATGTCAGGATGCTTGAAAATAGTGCGGAGCAAAACCTGCTACACGAAAAATGAAGAAGCAGCAGGGAATAACTAAATTCGACATCTTACAGGTAGGAAATGCAACATGAAAGATGAAGGTAGAGCACTAACCAGAAGCTGTCAACATGGACTAGGTCATCGCGGAGAGAAACATTGAGGAAAAAAATAAAAACGAGTAAAACAATTTTAATATTTTTTCACTAGAGTGCAAAAATTCCCGCTACGATATTATCGCGGTGCAAATTTCAAGGTGGTAAATTAAAATACCTCGCTTCGGCATTACCGCTAGCGACTTTTGTGGATGCAATTGATGGAGGCAAGTGATCAAAAATAGAGTATAAGCCGAGTGTATGGCTGAGACCTGCATTCGTAAGATTCAGTTGTAGGTAGCATTCACTCCCTAATGTATTCATCAGTAGGAATTTTTTCCTGCGGCAATACTCTACGATGGACCGTCCTACCCTGCTACTTAGACTCTAAGTACTAAACCTATCTCAAAGCGAATTCTTTAATTAGTAAGCGCTATTTAATATGTGGTGGTCAACGGGTCCAGTCGAAGTTTTAGTGGTTGTCCAGGTAGATCTGTGTAACAGAAAGGTCGGTTGTTATATAGATATGAATAGCAACAATGAACAATATACGAGGAAATATGTGGCTTTTCTGTCCAATGTAAACTTATACCTTTAGCTCAGTCAGCGATGGAAGATTAGAAGCTTATCGATAGGACACAACGTGGAAGGCCATGGATCGCTTATGGCTAAAGTGCGAACTGAATACGATGGGGTGGAATTATCTTAGTGCTAATCCGAATTTGAAATCACTCAGCTGTTAAAAGTGAGTTATAATGATCAATTACTAGCCATCATTATTGACGCTAAAGGCTAATCTTCTTTGTTAGTTCATCTATTTTTGTTGTTTTATAATAAATAATAATAATAAAAATTTCTCATAGCAGTAGAATCGTGTTTCTACTACTATTTGTGTGTTTATATTAGTCGTATAAAGTACACGAGCTGTCGTAACTCTCTTTCGTTTTCGAAGGGTATTATTTGTGCGTCTTAGCTTGTTATAACTGCGTGCGTATCGCATTATCTGTAAGAGATCTTTTCACCCGGATTCGAAAGCGGCATAGCGAAGAGTAATCAGCTTGCATTGAAAGTCTTTTGCAATTTCATTATCTTTAGGTGTACGACAATATGCGAAGTTGTTTCCTAACGTTGGCCGCACGATATCTCATCATGACATTTGCCCTCACGTCTACTAAACCTTAGATACCTTAGCCATAGGTAATCTACACTGAGAAAGATTTTTCGACTACCCGAGTGTTCGAACTCGAGGTGTCAGAACTCAAGCGCAAAGGTGCAACTGCGTTCGACGAGAAGATTTGAGTAGGTATGTTGATGCTGGTGGGCTACCGTCGTCTTTTGTAATATAAGCAAAAAAATACGTCGTTACTACAAGACAAGCGATAGTTGCCTGGCGCTACATATCAAACGTTATGTGACTCGTATTAACAGTAACCAGTGATGCTGTCTCGGTAAGTTATACCAAACGTCTCGGTTAAGTGATACCAAACTCTAGAGAGGTAAAGCGTACTGTTCGTTTGTAAACTTCATTGTACTTTGTCCGCTATATCCAGGTATAATAAAATCGGCAACAATTTGGCGCTAACCGGGGTTGTTTTTAATTATGTTATTCGTACAATTTAAGCATCATGTTCCCCTTATTTATCAGATAATGAAGTTGCAACACTATCGTTAAACTGCGGGCCTATCCTGAGGGTATATGGAGCGTATCTGTCGAACGCCCATACTGTGTCTGTACTGCCATGCACCTATAATACGTTGTATAGTGAAAATCCACCCTTCCTTGGCAATAGTCTAGAAGCAGTTTTTCGAACCTCTCACGCTGCAGTGCTTAGACATGCTTTACTGCGTTACTGAACGATACCAAGGTACGATACACTGCCTTTTAACTACTTCGAAATTTCATATCGGCACACGCTCTGTTTCAATAATGCTGTCATTCTATATTCTGTACAAGTTGTACATTTAGAACGCTATATTCATTACAACTATGAGCTCAAGGAGTCGAACCAGTGTCGTAGACATTTTGGTAGGTTGTTTCAAGCCGTTATTTTCCTTATGAAAGCATGGTTCTAACCCATGGAATGAGTCAATGCCTGCCCTGGCGGGATTACGAAATGCTAAAGCAGTTGGGTTCTGCCTTCTACAGTATCATGTCGAAACAACAGGGGGATAATATCGAATCGATTTTGATTGCCACCTCGATTGTTTGAGCTATATGCACGTTGCTACATATCATTTGCTTTTTACTGTATACACGAATACTTAACACAACTGACAAGCTGTGCATGGCAGCGTATCCCATCGTCGCAGAAATATCGACAACGCTTCAACATGTTTACGTGCCAGATGCCGATGTTGTTTTCGCTGAGTGATTGCCGCCACGGTGACAGCGCAGGTAGCGAAACGTCCTGAAGACATCGTACGCCTGCCCACCCATTCAGCGTGAAGCAGCTTCGCTAAGCTCCCCTTTGCTTACCAACTAGCAACGACCTTTTCGCCTACAAATCGGTTCATAGCATCATCCATAGGTTGAGCCCACGCATTGTAGGCTCTACTCCGTTTCTTCAGTGTTCCCTATAGCCTTCGTCAATCATCGGGCCCAAAACACTCTGCACACAGGGGCCCTTCAGCTCCAGATGAGTCGGCCGGAACTCTGAGTGGGAGTCGAGTGCTCGACGGAAGTACTCGTCAAGTGTTTTTGTTCTGGATGAATGTTGATGCGTTTGCGTTCGCCTAGACAGTCTCGCCGTTTACGACGTGTGTGTCTATATGCACTTCCTGCTATAGTATCGTCGGGGGTAATTTTTTGCGGTGATTCGCTTATCGTACTAGACACTAGTGTAGAACGGGTACAGAGACAGCTTTACGAAGCAAAGGTCGTTATCAGGAGATAATGATAGAAATTGAACCACGCTGGATGGAATCTGGCAAAGTGTTAGCCAATAGACTAAAGACGAAAATGTTTTTTGCTGCTATATTAGTCTTGCCGAATAATAGATTGAGTTGTTCGGTATGAAACGGGACAAGGTAACTTTTTTTTACAAGGATAACTCCTTTTTAATCGAAGTGTATGCACCGTTATGATTTATGACCTTTGCAATATAAATGACAATTTATTTATTCCACTGCCGTATAGGTCAGGGGTCTATGAAGTATCGCGAAAGGTGATTTCGATATCAGATTTATAGTTGAGTGAAGTTTCTGCTATGGAATTGTCTAGAGTTTGAAGAACTTTGTATAATCAATGGGTAACTATAACAAAAATCCTCTAATAGTAACTAGTCGTGCATTTTTGCCATCGTAATTTTTGTCGTTTGAGATCGAGCGTTATCGCTCGTCAGAAGTGGTTTACCTCGATTCACTAAGTTTGTTTTCTCAACGCTGAGTTTCTTGTTTATTTCTTTTAATTATTTATAGTCGTAATTGAATAATTAGGATTCTGAAAGCTGTGGTAAACATTACCAATGTTAGACTAGTAAACAGACATCATAAACTTATGTAGCTGCACATTTGCTTCAGGCTGAGGTCCCGTCGGTTCACTTGTAACCAACCAGTAATGTGACCGCCTCCGACGGCCTTAGAGAATAAATTTCTCATCACGAGTCACAGTTTGCCGCAAGAATGAGTCACTGCAGCGTGTGAACGAAGAGAATTAAGCGTCTTTACGTCTGTTTTCGATCCTGGCTTAAATGACGCTGCATGAATTTGTCTGATTTTTTTATCCCATTAATTGGATCGAGCCGAACGAGTACGGTGTTTTTACAGGCACGAAACCTAAGTGCTATACTAACAGCCCCGTAGTTTCAAACGGGCTGGCTTTCGTTGCAGTTCATAACTCTTCGTTTCTGACCTTCGCAGGAGATATTCCACGAGACCCATTATCAAGTTCAAAATTCGTTTCTTGGGATTTTTTGAAATAACGGCTCGCGGCATTTGCATTAGTAAAGTCTCCATAGATTACGAGCTTGATATGGTGAGCTGCCCCTGCCACTGAAGTTCCGAGATAAAAGTCTGCTGCAAAAACCCATATTCGTAAACCACTCGAATTGTCTTATTTTCCGTGATCTTTTACAACTTGCCTACCAAAAACCCGACTGGCAGTATTCGAATGAACGATTCCAGATTTCAAAGGGTACAAGTGTGTTTCGAACATAATAAAAATGTTTTTAAATATCTCGCCATTATAACACAGCATTATCTTGAAATTGTCTTACAATTCATACTAAACGACCCAATAAAAATATACGTAATTTTGTTCGTTTGTTCCGAACCCATAGTTGGAATAAGTGCATATTAAACCCAAGTAGGCGCCGAGTACAGAACAGATGTGATATGCATGGCCTATTTACGCATGAAATGGTCAGGGATTTTAATTTTATGGCATTTTTAATTTTTCATAGAAACAAAACATCATCACTAATAAATAAATAAACATTTTTGATATCGCAGATTATTAATGCGTTGTTAATACGCTGTACCGCAGTGCAATGTTTTGAGACGTATTGTGCTACAATAAACACAATACGTCTCCAAGTTCATAGGTTCTATCGAACGGCCCGCCTCTAAACAATGGAAGCTTTCGAACACTTTCAGAGTGACAGAACTCTTTTAAATATGCCCCCTCTGTCCTGCTACTTCCGTCACGCTGCCTGCGTCGTCGGCCTCACTTTCGCGCATCACTTCCGCTTCAGCAAGCGTCATTCCCACAATCTACTTTTCCTCATCGAACTGTGCTAATCGCATGGGCTCAGGTCATGTCCGGCCTTTTTTTGCGGAACCCATAGACGCGAAAGAGCGTCGTCCGCTCTAGGGTGAGAACGTCGCTATTCACATAATAGCATTTAGACAACGGTAAATACTTACTCGAACGTCTTACAAAAGTAAGTCATCTTTATTGCTTTTTTTTTTTTATTGCTATTTCACGGTTTAAACGAATATTCGATATCTAGAGAACAATATGGCTTAACGACTGTATGCGCACATCCTCCCTGTTCCTTAATAATATTATACAGAAAATACCATCTTTACTTTGCTATTATCATTATTCAACTTGCTTTAGTTTGAAACCTGTTCGTGAACTTTTCCGGACGGATCTAGTAGGCCTCTTTTTCAAGGTAAGAATGTGGTTGTGGTTGAAGGAAAATAGGATTAAGTAAATTCAGAAAACGAGATAACTCTGTTCGATCCTGTCGAAAGGGAGCTTTTTGTCAATGATACAACCATTGGACCTCTGCTTACATCTACGACTCCCTTGTAAACCTGTCCATAGGACACACACAGGTGGAAACGTACTTTCGGCAGACATGTATGTAGATTCTAACGAACGAATATGTAATCTGTACGATTTAATTATACAATAGCTTAAATATTCAATTCTTCTATAGTGGCTTCTATAATAGATCATAACTAGCACACTTGCGTCCTACTGTATGCATAGGGTCCTATCGGACCATATATAATATCTGTTTAGAGTGTGGGCAGTAATTGTTGACATTCACTACGCTCTGTTTTGCTAGATACCGGCGAAAACAGTGCCAAAGCTCAATTCAGGAAGAGCAGTGACCATGTAAATCAAGGAATACTTATTGAATTATTCTGTGGTGAATCGTGTAACGTGCAAACAATCGTAAATGCACGAAGAGTCCGTGTTCCTCCTGCTCAGTAAACAATCGATATTATGCCCTATTGTAAAACATGCTTTGCCCTTTAAAATGTACAAAGCAAACACAACTGACTGTAATTTTGGTTAAGTCTGTCACTTTAGGGCAATTAGGTTAGGTAGCTAGATTGCCGTTCGACTCTTCCCATGATAGATTAGTTTTTATAGCAATTTATTAAAATAAGGTACTTGAATAAATAGATACTGCCGATTACAGCCCGTTTCACAATTAAGTAACATCTAATCAAGTCCACTTCAGCTAGCCTTACGATAGGACTGTAATTATTATTAAATAGCGTCGAGAAAAGTAGCGGTTTTTGTCTCAAAAGTAAAGAGCTGCCGCTTTCAGAATAAGATATGTCTAGAATGTAGCAGAACGCGGTACTTTTTTGGAATCAGTAGTCCCACCACTTCGACTCCTTCTTTGTTGTTTGAATTTTGAATTGCTATAAAAACTCAGCCGGGTCTAGAAAGCTGGTCGAGTTCACCTCTGCAAGAGGCCCGAATAGTCATTTATCTCCTGTCTACGTTGTCAAAGCTAGCAAAAAGCTGACTTTGTTCCCGGGTTTTACCCTTGCTAGCAGTTTCTCCTGGGGCTCATCTGCCGATTGTTTTTCTCAAAACCCACCGACTTTTCGATCTGTTAAGAACTCAATCAAAGCGAAAGCGGGACGAGCTTGGAAGGCAGCTCACAGAAATATTCGCTTGAGAACGTATAAGGGTCGAACACTGTCTTTTTTCGGATGGTTTATTCACACCTCTATTCGATCTGTCGACGTCCAAATCTTTCAGATCAGACTGGAGTTATGCAATAAGACATCGCGATACCAAGAGGTCCCTTAATCGAACGTGTCGGAATGTGTTAAAGCCGCTTATGTGAAATACATTCAGCTATACCAGTTCTATATTCTTAAATCACTATCTAGATTCTACAGAGATGACTTTGCGGTCATGGTATCCGCTGTGGTATCTCAGATCCTAGGAACAGTTTTAGGTTGGGCAGCTTTATACCCTGGTAACGGAAGATTTTCTACTGCCAGTAAATGGTGCGATTCTCTAATACAACCTATATCTTCTGCACAGCACAGACTCAAAGAGAATTTATTGAAAATAGTTTACGAAGCTCCTGTTAGACCAGTAAGGTATTAAGGAACGAAGGAATCTTACCCAACCTAACAATTTGTAAACAATCATAAATATGATGGATCCGTGATCACAAGTACTGTCATTGTTCATTCTTGTTTCAGCCGAAAATTGCCGTAGGACTGCTTTCACTTGGATACTACCCCCACATACTAGATATAGTTGTAGAGGCTCAAGGCTCGATAGACTTAAGCAGGCGCATTTACTATTTGTGTAAGATTCTTATGGTACACAGCTAAATATGGCAAAAATAGGCCGAAAACTCGGTCGGCTTGGTCATACGCTCAGCTCGGCCTTGTATCGTTTATCTGATACGTGTAGCGTATCACAAGACGAGGCGACCACTAGAGACTAATGTCATTCTAGTTTATGTTGCACTAGCTAGTTGAATATTCAATTGAAACATACGAAGGTACGGTACATGTGGTGCGCAAGCGAAAGAGTGTCAAAGACAATTATCATGTTATCTTTGATTAGATAAAGCTGACAAAATTCAAATGTTTGAATATGGGTCCAAGTATAGGGAAAGGGTCACGAAAACGTTCTGATTGAGCACAATATGAAATTGATTTGTCCTTAAATGTTCTAATAAGAGATATATGGAACAGCGACCCTATAATCATAAACAAAAAGTTACTATACGATGCGCGCAAACCAACTATCTGGAAACCAGTACTGAATACGATGTACTTGGATAATTTGTGATATCTAGATACGTAGCATAGAGTCGCTTGCGTTTTACCGTAGCCAAGATCTTCAGACGAGTGACGTATCTGAACTTAGTTGCATTTACAGTAAGTTTCTTCTTACCATTTCTTTAACAGTTCGTCGTCGACATGTTTTCCTAAGTTACCAAACTGTAGTGCAACGCGTTGAGACATTCACGCTATTCGACGACAAGGTACAGTTCTTAAAGTTTATCGTCAAAGTAAGTTATTCGCATCTTAAAAGTAAAATATTAACTTCAATTAGGTTTCTTTAAGCAAACACTACCAGTTGTCCTGAGCTGTATAGGTTTATTAAGCTCGCTGAGTTTGGCGAATTTTGACGTTGCAGTTCGCGTCTTAGCAACACGTACTGAAATTTGCTTGAACCGTTTTTAATTCCGCAGCAAAAAACGATCTAGATATATTATTGATTTACTTAGCTCAAACGTGAAGACAGTTCACCAACGTAAGGATTGTACTAGTCCAGTGATGAATCTGTATGCGAGAAACCTTGAAGATGGTTTTTAAATATTGGCTCATATCTATACATTCTTCATTGGTGCCTGCGACAGTATTGTACCTTATTTTTTGCCGAAACTGCCAATAGAAGCGATCAAAAAGTCGACCAGAATGTAGTCTTCTAGAGTCTTTTTTCACAGAAACCACATCTTCTGAGTAACTTTACAAGTGTTTACGTGGCAAATTCTGCTTATTAGTTGGACGAATTGTAGTCGGCAGCCCTACAACATATATTACTGGAAAAAAAATTTAACGTAGGCCCTTTTTGAAAAAGAACACTTAGCAATGAACTTAGCTTTAATGTTTCAATCTGTTTAATCTTGGCAAACAATTCGTTCAATAGCAAATTTAAGTTAAAGAAAAATAACCCGGGTAGCGGCTCTCACTTTAAATTTTATACGAATATATAGAATGTTACATACGCTGGATGACTAGGCTTTGATCGAAGTTCATATTCCAGTCTTTTTCTCCCAACCTCGACACGGTCCCGTTGAACCCCACCCCGAGGCACGTGTCAGCCAATTGACCAGCAAGGACTTATAAAGAAGAATAAGAAAAGCGGCATAAAACTTTGGTGGGCACAACAGGCGACAAATGCGACCCATCTGCGCATAGGCGGGACAGTGAAGGAAAATATTCTCGCAAGCGTCGTTTTTTCCATGGAAATTTTATCTGGCAGTACGTTCCTTTAGATTCTTTTATTCGTAGACATATTTTTTGCGATTCAACATAAAGCTATAAGGTATGCCGATGTGGGCATGTTGGAGAAAAGTCAGGTTACGAACCTTCAGTTGGTGTAAGATCTGTTACATGGGTATTTTTCTCATCATGAAAAAAACCTCCAGCGTTGTTGTAATTTTTTCTACTAGTATTAATTGGATTATTATTATTATTACTACCTGAACTTGATTCCACAAAGTTATCACTAAAACTGTTCAGAGCGCAAATAATCTCAAGAGGAACATACTTTGCATAGAATAGTTAAGAAATTCTAATTGTTCTCACACCTCCCATCGGAAAATTGGGTCGTTGTACAATGATTGGTATTTTAGATCACTCCATTTTGCCACTAAGCAATTCCGTCTGCTTTAAGAGGCCCGCCCACATTGCCTTTATAAAGAATGTATAATTATAATTCTGCACGCATTTGACGACAACGGGAAGTTTGCTATCCTTATTTGTTTGGCGAGGATGAGTTGTGTGTTGCGAGGCAGGTTATCCAGAGGCAGGTTAGACTGTATTGAACTAAATTATACTTATTATTATACTTATTATTATTATGTATATACATATATAATGTATATACAGACCGTATAGCGCACACTCCTTCAAAAAAGATAGATGCCCTTAGTTCGATCGCCTTCGTATCGAAATACGGTGCCCCTCACGCGTCCTTTTCTCGCTCGCCGTGCCCTCAAGCGACTGCCGAGTAAATAAATTATCACTTTTATTGGCACTCTTAGCTGCGTCGATTTTGACGCTGCTGCAGAAGCCCACACCGCAGGTAGCCATCTGCCTTAGTACCGCCAGTATGCTGCTGCCGTTCCACCTAGGAGTTGGATCGACCTTTTACATTTAGGGTGGTCGTAGTGGCGGCGGCGGCGGCAGTTTCCTAACTTCCTATTAAGTTTTTCGTTGGGCTGCATTTAGCTTTTTCGTCGTCGCCATGATCGTCCTCAACCATACGTTCTACATAGAGCTCGTATCATAGAGGGAAGCGAAATAAAATGTAATAAACAAAACTTATTTTTATGTGATAGAAAGCGATAAAAAATGGCATCAGTAATGATATTAAATTATTTTACTGCCACTTTAATAATTAGGAGGCAATAAACGTTTACCAGATAAGAATCGTGTTCATAAAAGCGTTCCGTCGATTTTACACAGCCTGTTCTGAATTTGCGTTCTATAACAGCAGGAAGAGTGCTTTATATGCGATAGCTGTACCAGACCAATTTACTGGTCTACAAGTATGCTGATCTCATTTTTTATAAGTGCTTTTCAATAAGTTCACTTATTTGATTTGTCGTTTATCGATCTTCGCGTCTCTTTTTCTTTTCGTCCTCACCTAACTTAAACTACCAGTCAACTTAAAAAACCATACTGGATCAGTCAGCTCTCATCGACATTATCTCGCTATAGTTCTACGGTTCTACGGAGCCAACTAAATAGCAAGAACAGGACAATCGTCCTGCTAATGCTCGATTCACGAGTGGTCCGTACTTGCGTTCATCATCGATCCATGCACGACTCAATACTAAAAAAACAGTTTTGAAAAAATCATAGACGGGCGACGTGATCTTAACGTACGCGACGCTGCAGACAGCAGTTGCTGTAGCGACAGACTGGTGCTTGTCTTATGGTCTCGAACGGCAATTGTTGGGCAGAAAAACCGGAATGAGGGCTTTCGGAAATGGCAGGTGAGGGTGATATCTATCTCTAGGACGAGAAGTTAGAAAATGCAAGCTAAAATCGCGAAAAACAAGTTAAACGGCCAGCACTGAACTAGAGCGACTAGAAGGCCGGGAAGCAGCATGGGCTGGATTTAAATAGAGCTAGTTGCTACAATGAATCATTATTAATTATTTTACGGTCATCTGTCGTTCAGCGTCGAGCAGAAGTACGCGGCGATGCGACGCGCACCGTCGTGCCGTTCCTTCAGTGCGGACGGCCAGCATTGACAGCGAACTTATGATAGCGATCATCGCGTCTGACGCATGTAACCACAACGGCGATCGACATCCAGGCACGACAGTGAGATTACTCGTTCTCTGATGTTACGTGTGAACGTTAACATACAATATCAATATCGTAAATAATGCAGCGGCTCATGCAGGTCGAATCGTGCCTATAAAGTAAGTTAGCATATGTGACTATACCGAAATTATTAGATGGGTTCGATTTTGTATTGTAAATGTGTCTAGCTGAATCAAAGAAAAAACATAAAATGGCGGTCTAATAAATTAAACCAGTTTAGGTCATCACAAGACTGCCGAAGTTTTGGCGCCAACAAACGCGTTTAGCACGGTAATAGCTCGAGTAAATCGTTCTTCTAGGTACTTTTCGAAACCCATCGGCGTGTCGACTAATCCCTATCCTGAGTAAATCGTGCCAGATGTCTGTGGTAGCATTTTGGTGAAAACCGTGACTGCCTTTTATTTGTGTTCAACCTAAAATTTCTTTCTGATCTTTGTGTAGTTACTGGACGGTCATACTAGAAATGCTGCAGCGTATTAGAACGCAGTGAGAAGTTGAGCCGTTTACGCTCTGTCGGACTATCCGACTAGATCCGACGAATTATATACACCTACAATGATACACTTGATAATATCGATAATTTAATCGCCATACACACATACACTAAAAACATCACACCAAAGTATATTCAGCATTTTTGACAAACAATGGCTGTTCAGTAGATGCGTCAGATCAATATTTATTGACAATGATAGAAAACTTAATAGTCAATAACGCAAAACAAACAGGAGTGGTCAAATAAACCTGTTTTTGACTTTCAGCCTACCTCGTTACATTCGCCTATGCTGCAGCGAAAATTGCCGACCTGGTTTACCTAATCCGTCTTCTAACATAGTAAAAAAACAAAATAAATAGTACGAGAGCTCATATTAACTTCGAAATCACGTCTTTAACACTAGAAGAATATTGACGGGTCATTTTTGCAGTGTCTTGGATATCGTACAAATGATCAAAGAATATAATCACGAGGCTGCTATTGTTTATAGAACAGGTATATAAACAAGAAACTCAGTTTCGGCTCACCTTGCACTTGACTTTTTTTTTTGTCTTCGTGATCGAATTTTCATGCAGTTCGTTTCAATTAACTTAATTTTAACCAACAATTAAGTGGATCAAAGTTAATTTAACGCAAGATCATAGCTGCGTTGCGTTTCTAATAAGCTAGTATATGTGGCTACAGTTAGGTTGAGGCTGAGCAATGTAAAACTTTTAGGTCTGTCTATTGCCCCGCCTCCTTTTATCTTCATCGCGTGCCCCCCATCCCCCGTAATCATGCATCGTCCATATATTGTTAGCAATGTGGACGCTATCACCATGCACGAGACTAGTGCGCTGTGTGCTGACAGCCGATATGGCCGGCCAACAACCAGCATATTGGTCCTGGTGTACAATATGGCGTGCGGCGTGTGCACGACGCATCACGCATGTTTGGCTAGCTAGTCAGCTAAATATAGCTGAACCACATTGGCCGATTTTCGCGCATCTTCTGGCATCTTCAGGTAGTAGTAGTTGTTGTTGTTGTTGTTGTTATTATTGTAGTAGCAGTAGCAGCAGCAGCAGCAGCAAGCTCTGACCAAAGCAGGTATGCGCGATGCTCATATAAACAATATGCGATTGCGTTTGTTACCCCCAATTCCTTTGCTAGCGCTTAACAGGCTCTAGTCTATTCGCTCATCGTTCTGGAATCTTCGTCTAGCCCTTTGCCTAGCGCTGGATAGTCCTAGCATGACAGCTGGGTCTATCCGGCAGCAGTTCCCGGTCTGGTATTATAAGCAACAGCGGCACAACCAGCATATGGCCTCCGGTTCTCTTTCCCGCGCACGTTTTGCCTTCTATTGGGCCGCCCGCTATTCTGCTGTTCATTTTACAGGTGCGGAGAGCTTCTTGATAAAACTATGATGCCAATAACGCAAACTACCCAAACTACAACATATGTTTTACTACGGGTCGTGGCTATGAACCAACGCATCCAGCTGAGCTGATGCGCCCTTGACAGCTGCCTGCAAGAGGGAAATATCAGCCGGGCCTAGGTAGCGAAGCCACTATACACGCAACAAAAAGTTTGCCTACTGGGCAACATATATCACTCATTAGGGAAACGTTTATCAACTTGAGCGTTCACAACCGCATTAAACAAATACAAACAATCTACGAGATGGCATCCATAGGCAGGAATCCAGCCAACCGTTTTCTCAGCGGACCAATTTGTTTACTGGACCTAAAATATTGGAACATCTTAAAGATATCACTTTAATAAACAGACAAAGACGTACGTATCGATGAGTAGTGAAAAAAAAGTTTTCTGGCATCGAATCGAAATAGTTAATACAAGTTGAAGCTCGTTTTGAGATCAGCATCTGTGTACTGCTTATTATCCTAAACCAAATTGAATATGTCGAAAAAACTCATATTATACGAAAACGTAAGGTACTATCAACCGTATAACAATGACGAGCCAAACAGGGTCTAGCTAGCTATTGGATGCTAGGAAATCCAAAGGAATCATCCACATTCATCACATCCTACTGTAATAGCAATCAAACAGTCAATTGCAACTGATTGATGATCAACCAAATGATCAGCAAAATGGCCACTTTTGGAGTGGCGAGCTGGCGGTGAATAGTTCCGATATTCCGCTATCAGCTCAACCGTATACAGCCCCAACTCGGTAATCAGCCTCTAAGGACGTCAAGGTCCGCCTAATAACAATTTCGAAAATGCTGTCTGCTAGTGCATTGGACGGCAGCCCCTTCAAAGAGCTTCGCAACAAAAGGCCATCGGGTGGCAGCACATTTTAATTGCGCTTCTTTTTCCCCAGCCGTATGCAATTCCACAAACGTGGTCGTAAAATATTACTTTGGTTAGCCTTCATCCTAACTGATGAATGCACACATTTGTATTAAATGGCTGTTTTGTAACGGCACCCTCAGCAATATGGTCGCAATTGTTGTAAAGGGCTGTTCCGGTCAAGGTTCAATAGACATTAGATGACGACGTAGTAGTGTTTGATAACCTAAGTGCCATCGCCTGCAGGAAACGTTCGTTATGCCGAATATGAGAGCGACGAGTGAAAAGGACCTCACACTTCTTTAGGGCATAATTTTGCTAAATGATAAAGTCGTTAGATGTTGAAAGCTCTCCGTGCTTGAACAGACCGAGAGTCTTCGAACCTTAGAAAGTAAGACGCGGGTCTTGTCTATCGCGAAACGCACAGGGTAAAAGCCAACCTGATCATATATATCAACAACGGGCTGTATACGTCTAATTGCTGGTTTTCGTCGATAACTTCCAGATCATCTAAGTGACGTATAGGACATGCACAAAGCGAATCTCTTATGCTTTGCACTCACCAGTCTTTATGTATGTAGTCTGCGATGGGGGTTCAACTTTTGGTGTTCCCTTTACGAAAACCTCATTTAAATAGGACACTGGCCCTTTTGACTAGCCACAATCCGTTATTTAGTGCTATATACGATTCGTACTCACCAGAACACGCTCGGTAGCATTTAGAATGGGCATCCGTTATGCCAAACTGATAAGCTACATAGGACGGCCTCAAAAGAGGAAGATCAATACACTTACAAGGTTTTTTTGTTTTGCTGGCAGAATGCAGATGTTAGTTGGCTAGTTTCTAGAAAGCGGAGCTATATGCTAAACAAACAAGGGTTGAAAATTGAGTATAAATGAAGACAGCCTAAATGAAGTACGTGCGTACTTTATATGATGGATAGTTGATATTCAGTCGACTTCAGAGAAGCGATTTATCTAGCGTTCCTCTTTGTGTGAGCATCGTCCTTCCGGTTTGGCGCAGACATTCAAGCTACCTTCCAGTGCGCACGACGTCTTGACAAAGCGGAGTACGAGTCAGTGGTTTCAGAGTTTAGTGTAGCCTTTTTACTTTAATGATTGCGTCCAACTCATGAGGTTAAATCGTTAAGCCAATCAGAATTGAGTTCCCCTTCGGGACGCAAATAACATCAATCGAATCTCAACACACTGGTAGTATGTCAGACAACTTGGACGCCCGCAGAAAGTGATTAACAGAATACGGTGTTGTCCATAACGTACTGACTGAACTTCTTCGAACAGCAATGACATTATGGCCACACTGAGAGAAGCGACTTCAGATTGAAGTACTTGAGCGTAGGTATCGAGATATGTTTCTAAGTCACCTGTAATCCTCGATCCGTAATTATACCAATATACTATTTATCAGCAATAAATATACTATAGATAAAAAAGAGGCCTAGCTTAGCTACATAAATACATGACCAAAGTTCTTATATATATAATAATGCACTGTGTCTTTATCAGTTCGATGCCAATGCAATATTAAGCCGTCAATCAATGTACGTATTAGAGAAAGGTTTGCCACACCTTTTTACATAGTTTCATTACATTATCGCAAAACCTACCTACCTACCTACCTACCAACAGCGTACAGCATCAGGAAAAAATTTGTACATAGGAAGTAGGATATATTAAACACTCATATTCTTACTAGCTATGCCGACTTTAGTTCTAACGCATTATGTATTTACAGTTAATTATATACTGACGATCTTTCGCAAACACAAAGCTCATAACGACATACGGTTGTGTGTTTTTATCGGCTTTGAATCTAACGCTAGAAGAACAACGGAAGGGTAATTTAGGGATTATGCAGCGGTTCTTTTCCCATGAAAATTGATTCTCGAGACCCAATTTTGTTGGGCTATGCCCGTATCGTTGTTGCACGTCTTCCTGCTCAGTTCGTACATCTACACATCGATCTGGTTTATCTGCTATGCAATTTCGTCCATTCCGTTCAAATGGACAAAACGAGCCCGTACATTCGCGTGCGCTAATATAATGACTCCATTGATTCTACTTCGTTGGCAATATTTGACTTTAGCAGAAAGCGCATGGTTTGAGTGCTGGTACTAGTCATAGGTACACGCGGTGCTAGCTCAACGATTCTGCGACCAGTCGCCGACTCAATGATGTATTTATATTTGTTTATGTTGGTTGGCGAATGAAGTCGTTTAGTCTTTCTTATGGGCTGGCCAGCGACTGCTATCGACCCGACGCCGACCAGCGTATAATAACAACCATGTTCAGGACATAATCGAGTTCTTGGCTGATCGCTACCTTTTGCGTATTCACTTTCGTTATTGTGAGTAGGACGTAGTATGTTAGGACGCAATTGACTACGTTTAACAGGCATTTTTGAGCCGTTCTTTCTGCATCAACTACGACGTATTAGTGAATATTGAGTGCCATGCCAGCCGCTGCGGCTCAGAAAGTCTCAGCAACTTGGGTAGATGCTAGCACTGCTAGCCATACGACAAGGTAGCGAGGAACGCCTCCAGGATGCACTCAATAGGTAGACGGACGGCAGCCTAGAAACAGAAAAAGGTCATTTAGAACTCACCGTTACATGCTACCTACAGAAGAGGGAAGCAGCGCTTCCTCAGGTACCGAAAGTAGCACAAGACTTTCCTGTTTAACGACTGCAATGTTGGAAGATGACCATTTATATGGATGTCTGTAAAACACAAACTGCACACAGGCAAAGGTATCGAATCAATTCATGACATGGCATCCACACGCTTTGTACGTCGTTGTATATATGTATAGAGAAAGAGGGGTAAAGCGTACAGATCTACGGGCAGAAACATGCAAATAATAAAAATTTCAGGTAGAGCGAAGGCCGAGCGGTAGACGCGTCGAAGGTAGTTGAGACGCTCGCGGTGGCTCTGAATGACCTTGAAGACGTCCGCGTAAATGAAACTGTACTCATAAAGGAACCCAAAGCGAAGTGAAGCGGGAAAATACGTAGGGGCCGAATGAAGGAAGACCTGTGTGATTTTCACGGTCTTTGTATATTGCCGCCCATAATGCCTCTCTGTGTGATTGCTACGTTGTTATGTATCGATTGGGTCAAATACTACTACTTTAACTAAAAATGTTTGTTCTGGGCTGTCGACGATGAAGCCCGTCCGTATGGAGAACTGCAGCGATAGAACAATA